CCCTCGCGGTGGGCTCCATTGTAACGACTCGTGTCGTAGTTTGGGGGACTCGAGTAGATAGAGGGAATATATGCTAGCTCTGTAACTCTGAGCGCGTCAGAGGCTCTGTCACCCAGGACTGGGTCTCTACCTGAGAAGGGAAGCAGATATGGTTGCTTAGCCGAAGAGGGTAAGCCTATCGCAGCTTCATACGGGATCGTACGACGTATCCGGGAGACCTAGTACTTCGTGGTGTAAAGCAAGTAAATCTGATTTGGTAAGCGACAGTAAACCTAACCCTACGATCATGTACTACGTAGTTCGACAACTCTTACAAGAAGCATCCGGAGAGAGACGGTCAGGGCGGAAGAGGAAGGTCAAAGTTGTAGCTAACACACTGGGCATGTGCATTTATTGAAAGACATTGCCAAAGGCTGAGTGGAAGGTCAGGAAGGAGACAACAATGATAAGAGATGACAAGATCAAGTACGGATCAAGTGCAGAGCAAGTGCAGGGATGATCAAAAGCTATAAATAGCACAACACATGACCAAATGACGTCATGGAGGTAGGTAGGTCCGCGTTGGAGGCACGAAAAAAGTTATTCGGCCTCATGTACAGTAACTTATTTTTGACATACCCTTGGTGGAGGCAGATTACTGACCTCTCAGTGTCGCTTGATCACAGCTGGATGTCCTACCTGTTCGTTTCCGCGTGTCCCAACGTGGTCTCGTTTAGGGACAATAGCCGAGGCGATAACTGGGAGGATCGAGAGGATTGGCCTGTCATCGCGCTGGGTGAACTTAGAGGCTTGCATTCGCGTAATGCTGGTCTCCTCCGACGCCTAACATGTCCGCGCCTCGATAAGCTGTCCTTGCCCACTGGGTGTGATCTAGTGGGTGAAACACCCTTTCTGGGCAGGACGTCACCCAATGGCGAGTCCGGCCCAAAACACATTGTTCTGGAGATTGGTTCTTCTTCGATGAACGATGTCGCTGCCAGTGAGCGCCTGCTCAACCATCTGAACGACCCCTGCGTCACCGATTTGACAATAAGGTCAACGCTGCCAATATTCCGGGAGATGGCTCATATCATTTACTTCGTCGCATCGAAGTCCCACATCTTTGCCAACTTGGTGCGACTGCATATACAGCTCGAGCATTCCCAAAGGTCATGCATTAGAGGCCAGAACAACGATTGCGAAGTCTTGTTCAGAGGAGCGAGGATCCTCGAACGCGCTGTTTATGAGCTGCGCATTCGAAACTCGTCTGTGTCGACGTGTTTTGCACGGGCATGACCGTTCCGCCTTGCATCGACAAATTCTTTTCCGATCTCAGGGAGAGTAGCGCCACTTACAAGTTGTCGACATTGCTCACTGGGTGGAAAGGTTCGTTACTATGAGTCATCTTACTTGTAATGAACTGACCGCCCCCACTTGTAGCTAGCGACTCATCCAAGCCACCAAGCTTTCTCGATGAGTAGCTTTCCAGTGAAATAGTTTGCACAAGTAAGGGGTGGATTGGTTCCATGTACGCATAAGTCGGGTTACGCAATTTCTATATACTGTGCAGAATTGTTTCCTATGGCATACATTTCGAGAGGTTAGTTGCAACCGATTTGAGCGTTTCCAGTTTCAAAAAATAGTTCTGACAATCAGGCGGCGAAGAGCATCTCGAGATACATAGCGTTCAGCTGAGACCTTGCATTGAGAATGAAGAGCTCGTAGATAGCAGCAGCTTCCTGAGCGCACTAGATACGACAACAACACGGGGCAGACTGGTGACGGCTTGTTTACGCTCCCGCGGGAGCAGCATTGCGAGTTTTAGCAATGGCGATTGCAGGATATCATGGGTGCACGTCGACGAGCGTCATGCTGCCTGTCAGCGCGACTGCGTGGGTATCGCTGCCGATACGTTGCGCACTAGTAACTACCTATACGTAGGGATGTGCGCCGTACCGTTACGGTTACGGCCGTAAGTTACCCATCCGTATACGGTGTACGGCCGTAAAGTACGGTCTGTAACGGCCGGGACACGGCCGTAGTGTGGCGCTCATTTGTCGATCTTGAAATAAATTGATTTAGGCATGTGTTCCGAGTTTTTCTTGAGACAGGAGGATGCTAGAGACTCGTTTCCGCACCTGAAAGAAGCACATTTCCACATTTTGTACTCATAAAGCAGTCTGGGAGGCTGTTTCATGGCTCAGAGACCATACCACAGATGTTAGAGCAATCCATTTGCTATTTTTGGGTGATATCTGAGTGGTCCTACAGTCTAAACAAAGAGGGAACATCCGCGTTCGCCAACCAGGCGGTCCACGTGGCAGTGTCCCGATTAGGACATACACAGCGTTGGCGAGGTCTTCTAGCGACGACGACGAGACACTTTGACTCCCAAAGAGTCGTGAGTACATCTGGTGCATCATATGCGACGTCTGCTGCCCAAATGGTACCAGTAGGGATGCCACTCGAGCCCACCAGGCAACCCACCACAGGCAAGTGGCCGTATCACGGCCGTATGACCGAACCGTTGACCGTATTGCAGGATGGCTCACGGTACGGGTACCGTAACCCGTATGCCGTGCCGTATGGACCGTACATACGGTACGGCGCACATCCCTACCTATACGCGCCGATTGCAACTTGGCTCAAAAGAAAACTGGTTACTGTAGGGAAAAGGCCGCAGGCCAAATGTATTATTTGGATACGGGGAATCGAACCCCGAGCTAGCGCGTAACACGTTTTTGGCGCTCACGAGATTGAATGAGAGGCGCTAATGTTAGCCTTTACAACCTACAGTGAGGCTGGCGTATTGTGCTGTACAGAGAGTTACCAAAATCTTTGAAGCTACGAGCTTAGTCAACTCAGGATAGCTGAATACCCCCACCACAGAGTATTAATAGAGGGGAAGTACGACACGTGGGGGCTGTGCAAGGCGTTGCATATGTTTGGCTCGGTACGCGCGTCGTCGCGTCCTCGTCATCATCCATCCCTTACACTTGCAATACGCAGCGATGGCGTCGAGCTCGATGGACATAGACGCACCGGCCCCAAAGTTTGTACTGGACGAATTCATCGCAGCAGCGCTTTCTGGGACGCCAGCAGGGCTACATCCGTTTTTTGAGAGTTTCCGGACGTTATACACACGAAAGTGTGTGGCTTCCTCCCGCATGTATGCGCTCTAACAGTCTGCAGATTATGGCACCAGCTCACGCTAAAGCTGTTCGAATTTTTCGCCACACCCACATCGGCACCATACCGTGTCGACGTCTTCACACGCTTCGTGCGCGACTTTGAGGGGCGGCTAAATCAGTTGCGGCTCGTGGAGATGGGCGTCAAGGTCGCCAGGGAAATCGACAACCCTCAAGCGCATTTGGTGTTCTTGACGGAGCTGTTGGCACGTATCGAGGGCGGCCAGGCGGAGGCTACGGAGCGAACGCCACGAGAGGGTGCGGAGGTGGAGGGCGCAAAGGTGCTCCTGCTGGCGACGATTGGACATGCGAAGCTGGTGTATGGTGATTTGGAGGGCACCAAGGGCGATATGGACAAGGCGTGGCAGGTCCTGGATGGGCTTGAGGGCGTCGACAGCCAGGTGAATGCGGCATATTATGTCCTGGCGGCGGATTATTACAAGGTGCATTGCCTCTGCATATAGTGGATGGCTGACTGATCATAGATTTTAGGCCAAAGCGGAGTATGCGCCATACTATCGTAATTCGCTGTTGTATCTGGCATGTGTAGATCCCGCGACGGATATGACGCCCGAGGAGCGGCTGGCTCGCGCACATGATTTGGGCATCTCCGCATTCCTTGGCGATACGATCTACAACTTTGGAGAATTGGTGCGTGAGAGTTGTCTTCGAGGTATGCCTATTGACACTAGATGTAGCTCATGCACCCCATCTTGGACGCGTTAAATGGGACGCCGCACGAATGGCTCAAACGCCTGCTATTCACGTTCAACGAGGGCAGCATTGGAAAGTTTGAAGCTCTTGCGCCGCTGTTCCCGCAGGAGGTATATCTTGACCATATGTCCCATATCCATACTAACCTTCGCCCAGCCAATCCTGCAAGAAAACTATGCCTTCCTTCGCCAAAAGATCTGCTTGATGGCTCTCATCGAATCCGTCTCCTCGCGCCCTTCTGCGGGTCGTGCAAACCTCACGTTCCCTACGATCGCCACCGAGACCCACCTGCCGCTCGAAGAGGTCGAGCATCTCGTGATGAAGGCGCTCTCGCTCAAGTTGATTCGGGGCAGCATCGACCAGGTTGATGGAAAAGTTAGCGTGGGCTGGGTGCAGCCGCGCGTGCTTAGTACGAGTCAGATTGCGACGCTGGGACAGAGAATTGGGGACTGGACGAAGGGCTTGGAAGGTGTGAGAGGAAGAGTGGAGGTTAGTGTGTAGCGTACTGCTTAATATTGATATCCATGTTGAATGTAAGAGTGTCCATAGCCCTATTTGGTGGAGTGGAGTAGGTGCAAGACTGGGTACCTCGGATATGGTGTAACGGCTAACATTAGCGCCTCTCATTTGTTTACGCGCTAGCTCGGGGTTCGATTCCCCGTATCCGAATAGCTCTGCCAACACGGCATTGAACTTTTTTGAAAATTGTGCTACTAAGCTTAAAGCCTGAATATGAACATTGAAATTTCTACAGGTTTCCCACCGCATATGTTCAGCAAGCCAACCATGCTATACAGTACTTACAGAGGAGCCTAGTGTCGTTAATCTGTACAACAAGGCTTGTTAAAAGAAAAGGTGCTAGAGGCGCAGACAGCTGAGGTCGATGGCAACGGAAATGGAGTTCGTTTTTGTTCTCATGTTCAAAATGAGACACTTGAGCTATTTTCGTAGGGTGCAAGAAGAGAGACATTTACCGTTCTAGGTCACAGACGCCGCGGCGTCTCTTTTTTGCCATATGCGCCTGAATCGGTTTCTGGGTGACACCTTCTTCCTTTCCCTCCTTCTCGTCAACAACCCAACCCGACAATGTTTCTCGTCTTTCTTCAAGTACATAGCCCTCGTCGCTGTCATTCCTAGCGTTCTTGCACAGACCCTGACGGATCCGCACATCAACACTCCGCAAGTTTCTTTTCCTCCCGCAACCGCAGTGGCTCATCTCACTGCAGCGCCAGCGTCGTCGTTGGCCAGCCCACTGTTCTTACATTTGGTGGCACATCCCGTACGCTCTTCTCGTCCTCGGTAGCCCAGCGTCCTGAGTCGTCTTTTTTTCTCCTAGCGCCATTCATAATTGCAAGTATTGGTTCGTTTCCGCTGACACTTTTTTCAATTCTCTGTCCTCTAGACGTGCGCTCACGTTCTTTGACATTTGTCCCTCCTATAACTTCTTCATTGCAGTATCCTCCCTGGCGGGCAGGTTGACGCTGCGCCCCTCCAAAGTCTTGGTACCACAAGTGGCCCAGGCTCGCTGACTTTCACGCCCGGTCTGGCAACCAGTGCGTTCGCTTGCTCACCAAGTCTTGGCTACGTGCTTAACTTTCATGCCAGACACCGTCATAACGTTCGAGATTAAGGATGCCCGGGGTAGGCTTGGCTATAGCGCTACGGTCACCATTCGTGCGGTACTAGTAGCAGTATGTTTCTCACCTACATCTACGCCTTTGCATCCTCTGAATTGTCTCCTAGGCAGCACCTACGTCGAGAGCTCGTCTTATGGAAGTGGTACTAGTCGCAGTACGTTTCTCACGTACAGCTACGCATTTATATCCTCTAAATTGTCTCATAGGCACCCACTCGTCTTATAGAAGCTCTACGACTGTATCAAGTGGGAGTGCGAGCGCCTCCAGCTCAAGCAGATATTAAATGGCGGTCAGACAGTCTAACTTCGGAAAATAACGGCTCCCAGAAATATT